TATATATATATATAACATTCACTATTCTTGGTAGTAGCATTTGTACTGTCACCCACCCCAACCAGTCCTGTGCATATCCCTGCAGCCTCCAGGACTTCAAAGGCCCCTTTCTGGCAAACTGTGCAGCAGCCACTTTCCCTCAGCATCTCAGGAATGAAATAAATTAGATTTGCTTCACATCTCTGCCTCTCTTTTCCAGTTATTGCTTTTTGGAACACAGCTGGGGGTTTTCCACGTCTACAGTCTGTGGGACATTGCAACAATTTCTGAAATTAGAACATTAGTAATTACACAATAGCATGTGAAGATAACTGTGTAAACTACGAATTTTCTCTGATTGTGTGTGTGTGTGTGTGTGTGTGTGTGTGTCTGTCTGTCTGTCTGTCTGTCTGTCTGTCTGTCTTCGCATCCCAGGTCCTGTGGGCGGAGCAGCAAGTGGTGAAAAAAAGGAAGAAGAGGGATATCTATGAAGACCCGACGGACCCAGATTTCCCCAAGCAGTGGTACCTGGTGTGTGATGGTGTCTTATCTTTTATTGTCTGGACTTAATTCGTCTGTCATTATAGCAAAGATGACGTTGAAAATGTCAAACGTTCAGTAGGTATTGTGAATAACAATAAAATAACATTTAAAGCTGCTTCCGTGTGACATTACCAGCAAACAAATTAGTAGGTGCAGTCCGTAGAATATTTAATGATTTTTCTTTTCTGTATTCCATTCAGATTGCCTTTTTAAGATTTTGAAGCCAAGGAGAAGGTCCTCCTCTGCATTCAGATTTGTTCATAGCGGTACTTTTTTTTTTTTCATAATTCAGTTTCTGCTCTGCAATTATTTCTAATTAAACCATGATGGCCTTCTTATTCCTGCCCCGCCTGAACAGCACTCAATAGTTTCAGCTCTGCAGAAGCATTGTCTGATTTAAGACGCATTCATTATCGCAGCGGCACGAGTTATTCATTTCCTCATGGTCGGTCAGATAAGCATAAATTTAATTGCTGTCTTTTGGACTAAACGTATAGGCTTATAGTTTCTACAGCTTGACCATCTACACAGTCAAAGGTACAATGCAATGCATCCCAGCATGCCCAGTTGAATGGAAAATTAAATGTCAGGACAGATTGACTACTAAACTGTATCATCTGTGAAATGTTGACAGCAAATAGTCCTGGCTCTGTCTGCTTGGTTATTTACAGCTTTTCTCTGATATCCTTAAATTTGTCCTAATCTCCCCTTTTTCCTTTTTTTTTTTATATACACAAAACCTCCATCACTGACAGGGATTAATGACAACATTGACTACCCCCAGATATATATATCTATCTATCTATCTATATCCAATTCTGCCATTCAGCATTAGACCTCTTATCGTCTCAGGGCTTTAACCTTTATTTCTCCTGTATAAAGTATTCTTTATACAGGATATTCTTTATTTGGCAGTAAAACCAATTTTTTTTTTTGTATTTAGGGGCTTTTCTACTGGCTTATTCTGGTACATGGGCCCCAGCTGGTTTTTTGCAAACATTTACTTAAAATATGTATTGAATGGCATCTGTGCCAGTTCAAAGCCTACCTCCAGGAATGTAAGCTACCCACCTAAGCATCAGGCATCCTCACAGAAGTGCAGATGCTGGAGTCATACCCTGTGGAGAAGAATCAGCAGGAAACAGAGAAGAGGGCAGAGAAGGTTGTCTGTGATGTCTTTTCCATTTCTACCTGTGTTTTTCTTTAATCTCTTTCACCTCTGGCGCTCACATACTACTTACTGTACGAATTTTCTGTTCATCCAAATCACGCTTTCCCACTTGGTGTCCTCTGAAAGCTCACAGATTGTTATTTCTTCTGCAAGAGAGGGAAATGCTCTCGCCGAGATTTCTCAACCTGCAAAAGTTTTTCCGTCTTTTTTTTCTGACAGCGTAACTACAATGGAACGCTCACACCGGCCAGGTCAGCCCAAAGTGGCAGCCCATGTCAGGGCGACGCATTAAAATTGGATTTTGTGTCCATGAACCACCACCATGGTTTTCCCTTTTATGTCTTGGTGTTTATGTTTGTATTGAGTATTTCATGGTGTTTAACACAACGCTCTGCGGCGGCTAAAAGGCCTTTGCAGATGATTTAAGCTGTTCTCACACCAACAGACCTTTTCTGTTGGTCTGTCTGGGAAGTGTCAGTCACAACAGATTGACAGCTGAACAAAAAGCCTTGTGTCTCTTTCAGTCCACCCCAACGCATCAGGATCTGAATACTAAAGTGGCCTGGGCTCAAGGCTACACAGGAAAAGGTGTAGTGGTGACTATCCTGGACGATGGCATTGAGAAAGACCACCCTGACCTCGTCAACAATTATGTAAGTTGAACAAAATTTATGGGGGGAAAAAGTTAAATGACATGATTGATGTCCTAGCCGTTTTCACGTCTGTGTTAGGACCCTGAGGCCAGCTACGATGTGAATGACGGAGATGCTGACCCACAACCAAGATACACGCAGCGAAATGAAAACAGGTAAGTTGGCGAAAGCAGAAATCCGGCAACACCACTACCAATGGATCAGAATTGCTTCAAAGTTAGCTTTCAATCTTTAAGGAAATTTGCCGGGGGGGGGGGGGGGGGGGACGACAAGTGGACAAGCACATTAATGAACTGAGAAATCATTTGGACTGGAATAAAAATAATTCTTACCAAGCACCCCGTGTCCAACCCTTGTTGTTTTTGACTCTGCACTAGCCTCCTTTACATGTTAGTTGACAGTAAATGACACTGGTAAGAAAGCACCAAGTCTATACGGGCTTTTGGTCCAGTGCTTTTGGCCGAAGCATTTACATTTAGAAACCAATTATTTAAAGTTTGCAAGCACTGGTGCAGTCATTCTGCAAAGACTTGAAAGATTGTTCCCCTTTTCTTCTTTCTTGCTTCAGTACACCAGCCGAGCTGCATTTCAAGCATTAGCCCGCTCTTCCCCACAGCCACTTATTTGTTGCTAATACAATACTTGTTTACTTGCCCTCAGTGATTCATGCTCTTGCCTTGCAGTCTTTGGTCACATTAAAACGAGTTCGTCCCAATTTATTGATGGAACACTAAAGCTCCAGCAAGGGCAAATCCTCCTCCCTTCTCCCCTGTTTCTTCAAACGCTGTGGTCTCCTGCCTTTGTCCAATCCCCCTGGCGCAGATGAGACGCTACATCCCGCCTCTGAAAAGCACAGCAGGATTTCTCTCAAATCTCTCTCTTTTCTGGGACGGCTTCCACCAAGTCTTTTTTGCAGTTGTTTGTTTGTGTTCTTTATTGTGGGTTTCAAAGCGTCGCATCCATTTGCAGTTGGGTCAGGGGGAGAAGCAATATCAGCGTCACACACAAGTTTTCATGAGATTATAGAAGCTATTGTATGAGAATAGAATCCAGGCAGATGTTCTGCTTTGAACTTTGACATTGTTTCTCTCACTAATCTATATTTCTCTCTATCTCTGTCCTCATTCCTCATCATGATCTATTCATCTGCAGTATTTATTAATCTTGAAAGAGGCAAGCATCAGCAGTTTTTTTTTTTTTTTTTTTTTTATAGCAGAGGCCTTGTTTCTTGTCCTTGCCGACAGCTTGAGCGGCCATGCAGAGCGACCCTAGCCCTTTCTGTCAGTGTAAAGTAGATCCCACTCTGTCCTGCTGATAGAACAAAGCACTACTGGAGGGGATTACTCCCTGCCTCTGGTTCACGTCAACTCCCCAACTGCACCATGCTATTACTTCAGAAAGACACACACACACTCACGCATATAATAACAACACAGAGAAACACACACTCTGCTACACATGTCAGTGGAATTGCCAGAGCAATTATCTCGGACTGGATCAATTTATGGGCATGGAATGAAAAGCGAGGGTGTGTCTCTGTCTACAGCGTGGAGCTGCGGTGTTTGGTGTGACCTGTAAACGCATTATATCCAATGAGTTATGTAAATCACAACAGAGAAATACAGGCCGACAGTGAGTAATGCTCACAACCCCCTCACAATGAGATTATATGAATATATTCATAGGACAACAAAAAGCGAAGGAGAGTCGGAGGCGGGCATTTTCCATTGCCATGACGGCCCGTTCATTTGTGCTGATGACAAGCAAGGCTGATTTTTGAATTCTCATATCTGGGTTTATCCTTAGAGATGCTCTGAAGTCTTGAGTTGGCAGCTCTGGCAGATATTGTTAAAGGGGGTGCAGGCCAGGTTGAAGGCTGGCCAAAGCAGGTAATCCGTTTGTGCTTAATCATGTCGATGTTTTTCTTTCTTTTGTTCTCTACTTTCTTCCATTTTTCCTCTATTATGTCAGTATGATGTGGATGTAGAGGGTTAACTTTCTATTTTACATATATAAGTAAAATAAAAAGTTTAATAATGACCAATTTTGTTAATTTTCATGATTATTTGAAACGATGGCCCAGTTCATGGTGATAAACCTCCTGTAGGTTATTTTATATCTTCAGAAAGTATTCATACTGTATCCAACAGGGGATTTAAATAAATACAGTACAATCTTGTCACTAATCTAAACAATATAAACCATAATGCTTATACATTTTTTTTTTACTTGCAGATCTTTTTATATCAGTCAAATAAAACCGTAAGTGTTTTAAGCCGTCCTGACCGGGTACCATCACAGTAATTCAGCATCTGAAACGGCACACACTACCGTGCAGATTTTCGGTTGACTTTTTTTTTATTTGGGTGAGCGCTTTGGTGCGTTGATTGAATTTCTTTTGTTCAGGTATTTTTACTGTCTCCATCCATCTAACTTCCCCTTGAAGAGCTATTAGCTCCCGTTGAGAACTTTTCACAGGGGTCCATTAATTGAGACGCGCCGTTAGATTGTGCAGTGACGGCCTTTATTGGAAAATGATTGGCATGCTACACAGCCGTGTGTGCCCTATCGACACCCAAATACTAAAGTGACTTAAACTCAAGGCTGGGAAGATGAAGGAAGAGAGGTATGTTGGCTAATCAGGTTGATTGCATTGTGAGAGTGTTTTTCATGCTTCTCTCTCCCTATCAAAGTGAGTGGTACACGGCTATTTGTTTCTCTGAACAACGTTCTGCTTCTTCAGCAGAAATTCACTGGAAAGGAAAAAAATGGTAAATGCAGCCGCTGCAGAGCAGACACATCTTTTGCATCTCATTAAATTCTTGATTTCTTCTGACATCAGTCAGGGTCGTGCAGGCGTCCCCTGCAATAGAAAGTTCAGCGAAGTCCTGCAATCTGTATGATGTGAAGTGGTTGGTTGACTTTTGGTCGGGTTCTTTTTTTATAAATTCAAATTATTTTTTTTCCGTTTGAAAAGTTAGCGGCGATAATCACTAATATTAGTTATTATGTTTACGGAGTAACACATATATTATAAGCAAGGAATCGATCTTATGACCTATTTTTGAAATGTGAAAGAGTGTCTTTCATTAATGAAAGATGAGAAAACTGTACTTAATACACTAATTCCTTAAAATATCTTCATCCTTCATAAGTGATATCTTGCCGATTGGACTTTGATTCAAGATTGTATCTCTTACTTATCCAACCATATTGCTTAAATCAAACTGTGACAGCGACGGACTCTAGAGGTTAAATGTTTTATGTGCTTCACTGTAAACACAACAATTTCATTTTGTGTCACTGGGCAGTATTTTGTGTACGTAGTCGACAGAAAATAAGCCTCAATCCACTTGGAATTCAAGCTGCAACACCAGAAAATAGCAACAGGGTTAAACACAATCTGTCCTTGGCCAAACGCTGGCAGACATGTGGCGTCTGAGACATTCCCTATTCAAGTATGTGAATGCAAATGCCTAACCCGTACACACACTGCAGGCATATCTGTGTCTGTATGGAGGTAATAAAGAGTCATCAAGGGTGCGATACAGATCAAATCAGACTGAAGAAGAGCACAAACCAGAGAAGGCATCTTCCTCCTGCGTTGTCTGCTTTGGCGCCTCTGTTGCAGTGCTTGACGCAGCAGGTCGCGCTGCGCTGCGCTGACTTTGCTGCCGACACATTTTAGAAAACAACATTCTGCAGAGTTGACTTTCCTCAAACGTCCACATTCGAGCTTTATGTCGAGTATGTTTTGTTTTTTTTTGACATCAGAGATCCAGATTGTCCTTGGTGGTTTAAGGAGCATGTTTAGAAACACAAACCTTAGTCTGTGCAGTACTTGCAGTACTTGCAGTACTTGCCTACAATTGTTTCTCAATCCACTATTGTGCGGAGAAGATGCATCTTGTAGATAAACAAGTGAACTCTGCATTCAGTAAGGTAAGAGTGGGCGTACGTTGGGAAAATGGAAAACGTGTGTAAGCCTGATTATGATACTTCATGTTTCATTCTGAGGCCTTGACAGTTGGACAGAAGTCTCGGACTCTGGTGGACTGTTGGCAGCGTGAATGGAGAAAGAACAATCGCAAAACAAGAGGATAGTATTTTCTCGATTCACGCTGCAGATAAATGCTTTCTACTGTTTACACTGAGTTTATCAATTATTGTTTACAAAGCTGCCACCCTTTGTCGGGCCCAAATAATATAATTCCGCCTCCCGTCGTCTTGTTTATTCTGCTCCGGACTCCTTGTTTATTTTCCAGACAGCTAGGCAGACTTTATTTTGGAGTTGATGTTGGCAAGGGACCTCACTCTTAAATCTGATTCCTCTGGCTTTCTGTCTGCTATCCTGCTATTATTTAGTTATCTATAAAAGGGCAGCTTTATTGCTTTCTCTAGTATATTGTACATATTTATGTCCTTTTCGGACACCTTACCTTATAGCCATTTTATCCACTATAGCTCCATTAGAATAGTTTATTTCCTCTCCTACCACAGTGCTCCATACAGTAATGATCTTTATTCAGAGAGTAGCAGTTTTTGCCTCACAGTAAAAAAAAAAAAAAAAAAAAAAAATACATTTTGATTTCTCGTACCCCTCTTTGTAGAGATTTCTTTCCCTCCGTGTCCACATGAGCTTCCTCCCACGTAAGGATGTGCAGGTCAGATGGATTGGACTCTCTAAATTGCCTAACGGCATGACTGGTCATGACGGTTAATGTGTCTACATTTGCCTGATGATCTGAAAACTTTCCAAAGTGTTTCTCTGCCTTCTGCCCATTATTTTTGCAAAACGAAAACGTCTCGTCGCTCTAAGTAGCCAGAAATGAGAATGATCTTATGTATGTGATTTTTCTCTAACCCAAGACATTCAAATATAGAATTTTAAGCAAACGGATCACTCTTCCCTACAACGCTGAAGACAGCACCTCTGTGTTCGACCACACAATAAAGAGATCGCCGCTTCACACTCCAGTGTAACCATTTGAACCAACCTGCCTGAGGCCACAGCTGAGCCAAGCAGGAAGTAGCCTAATCCTTTAGGCAGCTCCAGTGAACGGACCCTATTCAGTCCCTCTAAAAACAGAGATAAACCAAAGGAGCAACGCCACGAGACAGATCCTACAGTTTAGCCAAGCACGAGTTAGACATCATTTACACTTGGTGATGCATATTCAACACACACGCTCTATACAACACATCCCCAACACTACACGAGCGTGTGTGTGTGTGTGTGAGAGATCATAGTGGCCTACCATCTGTAAGTGTAGATTCTCACTGCTTGAATACGCGTCTTTCTGTTTTCGAGGCCTGTATGAGAAAGTATGCTGTGTCAGCATGGAGCTTTTCTCACTCATCTGCTGGTAGTAACACCCACAGAACTGGTCTGTTCTACCGATTTTATCTGAGTCGAGTCAATTCATCACAAGCAGTGCTACTCAGCGTGTTTAAGTAGTTGTATCAAGTTTTTGTGGCTCTGGGAGATCTTTCTAAATCTTGAGAGAAGCTGTGTAGTTGCATTATTGGAAATGTAGGCTTTAGAACTTGACTTGCATTAGGGACTAAAAGTCAGGATTCTTCAGCCTTTGCTGTTTGATTTTGACTATGTTTTTATCCGTCTCTTGTGAGTCTCTTAACTTTATGGAAGAGCAATGCTAAATCATTGGAGCATCCCTTAAATGTGGATTTATAGCTTTGCGTGAAGGAGTTGGCGGCACCAAAGGCTGTGCCGAATCTGATATGAGCCTCCTCAAAAAATGTAACTCAAATCTCAGACTCGTATCACAAAGTAAATGAAAGAAAGTAAACACAGTGATTGACAGGAATATAATTAAACCACAATAGCGCCTGAACGAATACAATACAGCCATGTCGCGCTGCCATGGTGAAGTCTATACTGTATCCAGCTTTGGATCTAATGCACCTCCTGTACTTAAGTATATTGTCATATTCTACCTCTTCCAACTGCTCACCATCCCATCCCATGGTGTCTTGTAGTGATCACAAAAAAACCTCCAAAGTCAGTTTAGGTAATAAAATCATAGAATTAGACATAAGCAAATGAGCAATGTTTTTATTTATCCTTACCCCAACTAATGATCTAATTACACGTTGGCGTGAGTAAACGCTTAAGGCCGACTCAAAGGATTAGATCAACATTGAGGCTTCAATAAGATGGTGATGTGTGTGCATACTGTACATTAATAGACTGTACTGTGCAGTATATATAGACACTGTATGGTCTGTGGTCGCATTGCATCACGTGCAGAGAGGTTGTGCTGGGAGACATGTCTCCAGTAACTGGCAGGGCAATGACTTGACCAAATATGGGGCCTTGGCCTGAGGAGGAGAGATAAAAGCATTACTTCACTCCGCCCATTTGCTCCTTCTGATAAGATAAGGGAGGTCACATTGGCTGTGTGAATAGAGCGTCTCTCGTTCAGCGGCCTTTTATCTGAGCTTTGTTTAAGCTCTGTTGGGTCTTTTCTCCACAGCTTGTCTTTTTGCCATCCTCAGACTCTCACTCTAACGTTAACTAACTTTGATCGTCTTTCTCCGAGATGAGGCTGCATTATTCTGAAGCTTATTTGTTGTTTTCCCACATCTCATTGTATAAACTTTTCAGACTGCACTTATGCGTGACCCGGAGAGTCGCCGCGTCTGACACCTCTTCCAATCTATTTTAAATGGATATAGAATGGAGGCATTCAGTAAAGTGTCTGGGAAATCATTTCATTTCATGGACATTTGACAGATAGAATTGTGGCTTCGAATTGAACCCTTTGTCTGCTCTGGAACGTCTGAGCCTCCCTGGATATATTAAGCTGTCTGGCCGGTTTAGCTGAATTCAATCCAGGCCAATCACTCATTCGCACACATACACACGCACACACACACACAAACCAGCTGCATCTTGATGCGTAAGGCCTCTCTGTAAACGTATTCCCAGACCTCTGGCTGTGTGTTCACTCTGCCCATCCTGGCTGAATCCCCTGCCTGGCATCCCATCTGTGTCCGCGGCTCCTTGGTCTGAGGATGTGTGCTGTCTGGAGCGCAGAAGACATTTTTTTTACGATGCTATGTAGATGAAACAATAACGGTACGTGCAGCTAAATAAATTTCAGACCTCATGTCAAAGTATCATGGACTTTAATTTGAATTTTAAACACCAACGCGTCTCATTGCGCAAATTCGAGCATCGATAATCAGAGCATCTTTGTTCCAAAAGGCAGAGCTGCGAGCCAGCCAGCCTGTTTGTTTGTTTGAACATAAGTCATTGAGAGTTGATATTTGGAGCTGTTATTTGCGGTGTAATTCAACTGCAAATGCCGACACATTGCAAGAGTGTAGTAAGTAGTTTGGACCGAGCCATCTGGCTGGCCACGGTGCTGGCTATACGTGTTTTTTGGACAGTGCGGATAATCGCAGACTCCCTCGATGGTGAAAGAATATGTTCCCTTTATAATTTATATTCCTGCCGTGTTTACTCAGTACTGTTCCACCGTTAGAAAATGAACAACGCTTCAAAAGAAAATGTGACATGTATATTGCTTTAAAATGTAGCCTCGTACTACATTTTACACTTCAAGCCAAAACAAACAGGTTTAAACCTCCAGTTGTATTTATCAATTTTTGGGATCATTTCCAAGAGAAATAGCTCATAAAATGGAACTTGCACTGGATCTCTCCACATTAAAATGAAGAATGCTTCTGCTGCATTAAATTACAGAGGAAGCACTTAGTGTCCTGCATGTCTACAAATATAGATCTCTTTTACTTTTTAGGTTTTAGTTTTTTTTATATTAAGCAGCCACATTATTGCAGTATGAGAATTTGTGCTCTGCCCTGAGTAGCACTAAAGCTTCCTCAGTTTAACAGTCTTCTCACTCATATTTCCGACGAATATTACTTTTGTTTTTCTGGCCTGAGATGACTGATGGTCACCATTCAGCACCCACTCAGTAGTGTTTCAGCACATAATAACATGATTGACTTGTGTGAACGAGCTCGCGGTGCCAGTCAGTCAGACGTTGTCAGGCGCGCGGTGGTGAGCTAAAGTGTAACGAGTGGGCAAGTGAGCGCTCTTGATTCAACAATAAATATTCATTTAAAGGTTCGCTCGCCACTCCACGTGCAGACCGAGATGTGACGCTGCACAGAGATTAACAGACCTGGAAGCTGAACAACTGAGGCTGTGCACTACGCCTCGTGCGTTTTCATTCACTCAGTTTCTCTTTGACAATCAGCCAAATGGACTGAATTGTGCGCGTGAATTATATTGATTATCTAATGCTTATTGGGTCATAATGGCGTTTGAAGCCGCACTTTTCCCCAAAAAACTGCTGCTACAGTACATAACGGTGTTAAGAGATGTCCTCCCTGCGTAATGAGTCCCAGTTTAACCCCTGAGTACATGTACTGTATATTGCTCTCGAGGGAGCCATCAACTCTCCCATCACCTGCTGCCATTTATACAAGCCAGTTAGCAGTAAAACAATGTAGTTTAACCTCTTGATAGCAATAATCATAACTTCATTGCATTTGTGATGTATTACACGCTGCCATATGTTGTGCCAAGGTCCTTATGGGGGACTTTCTGTCAGTGAAAGATTTGCCCTGTCAGGCCAGTTGATTACTCGTTTAAAAATCACTGTAATGCTTGTAGTTGTTGACAGCCTAATGCATGATTTGTTAGGAGGCAACATGTGCCTTATTCCACACCGTCCTTTTTGTAGTTTTTTTGGGTTTTGTTCTTTGACGTTGTAAATCCTGAACTAGTGAAAAGAAGAAGAAGGAAGAAAACAGCAGTGCTCCTCTGCTAAAATGTTTGACGGTGAATAAAAGTGGGAATTAGCGGGACGGTAATATATCACAGAGCTACACAGAGTCTAATCAGGATCCCAGCTGGAGGCGTAGCCTACTCTGACCCTGTGAAATTACTTTGTCCTCTGCCTCATCTGAGGTTGGGAGATCAAAAATGAAGACATTTTTGGCTCTTTGAAAACAATAATGTGTACGTAATTAGCTTTGTTCCGATAACATTCACGCAGCACGTCCCGGAGATGGGTGTAAAACTGTTCACCTCCTAATCCGATACCTCTACTGTAATCAGCAGACAATCTTAATGATCTGTGTTAAATGGCCAACGCTCCTTCTGCTCCATCCATTCGCAGTCCGATCACACCGCTTCAACGCTGAAGTCAATGAAACAAATTAAATCCATTTCACTAATGATTACCTTGTTTTGCCTGGAATGATGCAACGCTGTGAAGGTAGAGACTTTTCTTTGGCTTTTATTCGAGCGGAACTGTGGTTGATCATCACATTTTTTGGGGGGTTGGAGGTGTTTTTGTTTGTGAAGTGTTGGTGTGTTTGACATCTAGACAACGCTCTATGGGGAACCTGTCTGTTCTGAGAAACACAAGACTGGTTGAAGGTATTAATGAGGGACTCTGTGAATAATTCATGTACATCGATAACATCTCATTTCTCATTTGTCTGGCCCGGTGACTGTCAAGGTAAAGTTTAGGAAAAGGTCTTTGTGTTTCTCCTCAGGTTTCACCGTCGTTACTTTTGATTGGACGCGCCTGTATGCTGCAGCCTGTACAACAGGAGAATAGTTACTCATTTTTTATTGGGTAGTAGAGGTGAACGGAGGAGTTGTCTAAAGTGGCTGTGTTTAACAGGAGAGGATTGGGGCCACTGGCTTTATGTTTCTCTTTTGACTTTGGTGTATTTTTAGCTTCAGCCCAGCTCAGTTCAGGACGTTACAAACAATTGCTGCTTTTTTTTGCTGTCAGCAATTGGTATTGTGAGTTATTGTCATGCTCATGCTTGATGTGTAAATTGTCACTTTGTGATCTTCCTCCTTTTTACTTATTACTATCTTTTGTGACTTTGTCTCTCCCCAGACATGGAACGCGATGTGCAGGAGAAGTTGCAGCAGCAGCCGACAACGGTGTGTGTGGGGTCGGTGTGGCCTATGACGCTAAGATAGGAGGTGAGTGAAGCATGCCACGGGGATTGTTAATCGGATAAATGTTTAATAAGAAAAAATTATAATTTAAGTTTGGTATTGCACAATAATACTCACATTCAAACTAATTAGCCTAGAAGGGAATTTGTTTCAGCTGAGCTCCATTTAGTCCAGGACCAGAATCCGAATCACAGACTCAGCTCTGTCTTCACATTTTGTTACAGACCCAGTAATAGATTGTGAAGCTGATATCCTTCATGTTTTTTCTGTTGTTGTTTCATTTTTTACCGAATGATTGACTCCCTGTTGTTCAGATGCACAAGTGAAATTGTGCTGCAGAGATAGGCAAGAGCATGCAGTGAATCGTCCTTGATCTATTGCTGCTGAGAAAAATAGCTCGTCTTTCTGCAGATTTTGCTCTGGAAAGGAGTCGATTGTGGCTTTGTCAACACTTACAGGACAATGCCTGGAAACATGTAGGTTTCAGATTTATGTTTCAGACAAGGTGAATCTTTTTTTTTTTCAAACCAGCAAATATCATAACTCAGTCCACCTTAATTTGACACTTGGCCTGAAACTCCAACCTTTCCTCCACCAATTAGATAAAAAGCTAGTTCAATTTTTTAAGTGTTTTGTTGAGTCCTTTGTGAATTTAGTATTATGCTGATGCCATGAGACTGACTTCGCAACCCAGCGGACGTCCTTTCATGCCACTGTGTAAATCAACTGCCTAAAACGCTGGTCAAAATAAGACTCGCAGTCTCTTGATTAAACGGTGATACAGCTGGTGGCACGTGCAGATATGCATTAAACAAAGAAGACGTTCCCTTAAATCAAACGTGACCACAAATTAAGTCTGAAAGGTCATTTTCTTTCTCTTTCTCCTCATAGTGTTTGCACTTGATAAAGTATTCCGAGGAGGCTTTTACTAACTTTTGTCACTAAACAATCTGTCAGTGACATGATGGCAGCCAACAAGACTCAGCGGAGCCTGTGGAGCCCTGAGCAGTCCCGTTCACAGATGTTACTCATAATTCTCCTTCTATATCTTCATTACCATTCATCTCCCGACGGAGCCGCGCATTGGCCCTGTTCTCGTAAATTACTCCTCTGTGAATCTGTTCACGTCACGGGGTCAGTGGATTGTTTATAAACAGCTGGGATTTGCTCCCAAATACCAGTGGCGTGTGTGTGTTCTTGGCTCACTCTGCATTTCCTTTCACCTACTGTACCTGTATTCCCTCCACACACACACACATACACACACACACACACACTCACTCACACACTCATAGCTGCATTCCTGCTACTTCTGACTTGCTGGAGCAAAACTCGCACAGCAGTGTCTTAATAAGGAATCGTCGAGCTGCGGGAAGTTGATGGGAATTGCAACGACAATGATTATCATTACCGCTGCAATACAGCCAGAGCATAATGATCTACCGAGCAAACATTGTGCTTTTTGTGGCATGTTTAGCCCAGTTAAGCATTTATTTTTTTCTTATTATTCAAACTTGTGTAACTTGTGAATCCCCATGCCAACAGAGTAATTACCGCTGTGGCTACATCTCCTCTGGCATGTGTTTTTCCAGGCAGGTTGTGTAGAATGGATTATTTAAGTCTTAATCGTCGTCACTGGCAGTGTTGCCTCTGAGGTCCGGCGGTCTTCTCCCAGTAATGGACGTTGTTTGAGGTCACCTCATTTCACGCCTCTCTACAGCCATTAATGTTCAGAGGAGCGATCTGAGGGTGCTCACTTCAAAGGCTCAGACAGGGTTGCGTTCAGGTATGATGAAAGGTGACATCCAGCGCCTCCCTGTGTGGGCACACCAGTCCTGTTGAAGGCTTTGTGAACTCTCAGCTCATTTATACCAGTGTGTATGTCCTCTCGCCTGCAGTCTGTTAGGTCTGTCTGCATACGTGTCCTTTCTGTGTGTTCATTGGGGTTAGGTAACTAGCCTGTCTTGGTTTAACATCCAGCTGGGTTTTTGTATGTGTGATGGTAAAAAATATATATATCCATGAGAGCGGCATCTGTGAGTGAAGATTTGTACGCTTGCTCATTAAAACTGGAACTCTGTGAAGTATTTGGTTTCTCCTGTGAGGTCTTTTGTTTCTCCTTTTTTTTGTGTTGTATTTTTTTGTGGCAGAAGATAAAAAGGGAATTTGCGGTCCGACCGATTTCTTTCAGTCTTTTTTTGACAAGTTTCCTCTCGTTGTCATCTCATGCTGGGTTTTTCCACTGAAGTTTTGACACCTCTCCACCCATCTGAAGCTAAAATCCATACGCTCACTATCTCTTTACCATCTGTCATTCTGTCGCTCTTCCTTCGTCACTTTTCAACGTCTCCAGTGTGGTAACCTGCTCTGCGCTGCATTGCCTGTTCATTTCACAGGAGTTCGTATGTTAGATGGGGAGGTGACGGACGTGGTGGAGGCCCACTCTCTGAGCCTGAACCCGCAGCACATCCACATTTACAGCGCCAGCTGGGGCCCAGAGGACGACGGCAAGTCACTGGACGGTCCTGCCAAGCTGGCGAAGGAGGCTTTCCTCCAGGGAATCACCAAGGTCAGTATATACATAAGCTTGAACTTTTAATCTACTATCTTCCCTGATCCTCTCATCTAACCTTTGGCAAGGAAGCAAATACTTTAAGAGTAATTCACAACACAACTGTTCCTTTTTATGTGGAGCAATTTATCTCATACCAGCAAAAAAAAGCTTTTTTTCCACCTATACATGTACGTGAGTTTGCTAATTGGCCTCTGACTAGCCCTTTAGGGTTGGATCGAGTATGACATTAGAGAGTATGACATGTTATCATAGGCTAATGTCATCATTTCTCATGCGTCAGCATGCTGCATCAAAAGGCGTTAGCCCGAACAGCTAAATGATAAATGGGAGATGGGAGAAAAAATGAATCAGAGGAGCAGTCACTGATGCAGAACAATAGTTAGATTCAAAGACCGCAGTCATTTTTCTGTGGAAAAGAATGATTCATATGTCACATCCCAGAAAGTGAATTGCTCCACATATCGTGGTGTGTTAGTGAGGAGAAATTGCCTGACAGCAGCACAACAGGGCCTTTCTGGTTCAGCGTGTGTTCTCCTGGCAGTGAGATAACCCCTGGCACCGAAGTCTTTATCGTCTGGCCTCTGTAACCTACAGCCAAGGCAGCGTTGGGTCATAAATTGGACTGGAAGGTTTAGCTAGAGCTTCAAGACTGTAGTGTTATGATTCAGTCAGCATCAACACATTAAGTAGAAGGAAATTCCCCCCCCCCCCAAATTTGCAGTAATTTGTGAAATGGAGAATCCCATTTAAACAGCTGTGAACAAGCTTTTTGGAAGTCTGTGTTCAGGGGAAAACGAGGTCCCTTTGTACACTTGCAAGTTTAAAATGTGATTGAAGGAGCAGTGAAAACAGTGTTGCAGCATCAGTGATAAGGAAGCACAGATTCAGGTATCTTTTAAATTTGCTTCAGTACTGCAAAGGGAAAATACTGGAACTGATGATGTGACAGGACTTTTATTTTGTCAGCAGGCAGAGAGCAAAACAGACAATCTCAGTCTTGAACAATACGAGAAGCAAAACATTCGTGCTGCTTTTACCATCAAACACCCGTTTTTATGTTCCTTTTTTGTGTTCTGTGGGTGACGGAGAGGAAGGGAGAAAGAAATGGTATACATATGTTTCTCTCTCCTTATTAATGTCTTGTTTGCTCTGCTCTCTGTATGTGGGATTTTATAGACGTCCCTCCACTTTCTTTTGTCTGTTTCTCCATCATACAGTATGTATTTCTTTGGTTATTGTTTTGTTATAGAAAAATAATATCGTATCCGCCCACTTGGTTCAAACTGTATGTGGTAGAAGAAATGCTTTAATCTTTCAGTTTTAATCTGAATGTCAGCGTCTGGGTTGCTGCTTTCACACTTTGATCAAAGATGTTATTTCCATTTTTCGAATGACAGGGTGTGATTAATGCTGAAAATAAATGTGACAAGTTAGTAGATTATGACAATAATTATACCTATATTTATTCTTCACTTTTCCAAAAAGAAAACCACTCAAAAAGTGTTTCACAAAAGAGCAAATGAAAGGCAGAGGGATGATGAGCTATAAAAAGAAGAAGAGGGCTCTCTAAGAATATTGTTCAGAGAAGGAAACCCGTGATAAAACTCTACATCATAAGTAAAACTAATTAAAAGGCCATTTTAAAATGTGTCTTTATAATTTGAACAAATGGGCACTGAGGTTCTCCTCCATCCAGAGGCTGTTTCAGCGCTTCACCGCCCTGACTGCAGATGCTCTTCTGCCCTCTGACTCCAGCTGAACCCCGGGAGACAACAACTGGTGTGCAGACCTCAGGCAGAAATCAGCCGTGTAGTAAGAGAGAAAAGGTCAACAGTGCAGACCAACCAGTGCCATAATAAGCAGTAAAACTTTAAAAAAATCAATTCTGAAGGTCATAGGTAACTAGAGCAGGAAGAAATGCTGAGATTGAGATGTGCCAAAACAGTTCTGGGGCATTTCAGCGATTACAGAGTTGCAGTAAGATAATCAGCTGGAGACAAATGCATAAAACATGTTTTGTGTGTCTTGGAACAAAAGAAACAATCTAATCTGAGCAATGTTCCTGCGTTGACAAACGACACCCTTTGTTACTTTGCTAAAATGTTTCCAGCCTCCTGTTGGCAGGTCCACCCCGAACCCGACCAAATGTGCGTGTGTGTGTGTGTGTGTGTGTGTGTGTGTGTGTGTGTATGTTAGGAGCATACAGTCTCACTGCCAGATATCATGTTGTCATTTATCATGCCCCTAAATTATATTCTGCTTGAGTAGATTTCGTAATTACATTTCTTCTGTTTGTTATCTGCTGTTCTGTGCCGCAATAAGTCGCCTGACATTATGATGTGTTAATAAGAGTTGTGCCGACAGCGGTTCACTGCTTCTGAGCGAAAGCACACAAGTGACAAAGTGTTTAAGCAGTCAGACAAACGTCTTTGTCAAAGGCAATGTTTCACACTTCAACCAATTCTTGTTGGAGTCTTTCGTTATGAACGTTAACGCTTGTGTGCTTCGATACCACAGGGCCGCGGCGGACAAGGCTCCATCTTTGTGTGGGCCTCGGGTAATGGTGGCCGGGAGCAGGACAGCTGTAACTGTGACGGCTACACCAACAGCATTTACACCCTTTCCATCAGCAGCACCACGCAGTCCGGCAACGTGCCGTGGTACAGCGAGCCCTGCTCTTCCACCCTCGCTACTACCTTCAGCTCTGGAAACCCTGGGGAGAAACAGATAGTGGGTGTACACACACACACACACACACACACACACACACACACACAAATATACATGTACCTCGTACTTTGCGATGGCCTTCTTAGTCAGCCATAAATTGATGCTGCTACATCCAAAATGAAACCTTTTCAAGTGTACGTACACACTCATCTCATCTCTGGGAAATCAAAAATGGGCATCAAGCTGTCAAAATCAGAGTGACTGATGTGAAACATACAGTGAGCAAAGCTGACAGACAATGAGAGATGCCACATGCTTCCTTCAAGCTGCTTGTCTGCTGAAGAAAGACTTGCCTCGGGGATAGAGAATAACATAAAACAAACCATAAATCTGCCATTTCCTTCAGAATACACCAGGGGCCTGCTGCAGGCGAACAGACACAACTCATCAAATAGATGAAATTGAAGTCATTCTGAAATGTACGACAGCTGTTGTATTGTTGATTTGGTAGTCAGAAGCTGCTATTATTTGTTGTATCAGTGAGTTCATACAGCTTTCGCTTGTCCAAAACAAGGATTTATGTTCCCTTTGTCAGAATTTTGTGTTTGGTACATTTATGTGTTGACTGTCAAATCTCAAACAAACCAGGACCAGGCTTTTAAACTCACAAGTAGCTGTGAAAACATCAAACATCAGTGTAGGACTGCAACTATTACTTTCATTATTGGTTAATCTGTAGTAATAAAAATTAAAATAAAGATGTCAGATTGCTCGTTTGACTGACCAAGTGTTCAAAACCCCAAATTATTCAGTTTAGAATGATAGAAAACTGAAACAAGCTGAAAAATCTTGATCTTGATAAATGACTAATCACTAAATGGGTGATGTTAGTCAAAAACAAATGAAATATGTCAGTGTTTCAGTGTTGTTTTATCCAGTTCTGATATCTAACAGTTGCGTGCACACACCTCCGTTTGTTTACTCCCCTGACACGTAGACTTCTTTCCACAGATAATGGCCATTAGTGCCACAATCTGTCAGGCCAAAAGTTGCAAACCAAGAAGCTGTCCCTGACCTCCACACCTCGCCTTGCCCTCTGGCTTTCTTCTCATTTCCGTCATGTCCCCGTCGTGACCCAGACAGGCCTCATTAGCTTTCTGGCATTGGCAGAGGCCGAGAGCAGAGGTGTACGCGGCGTACCAACATACTCTGTCTCTCCACCACCCGACATGACTGGGCTGATTTGGCTGACATTCACTTCCCGGCTGTGACCCCTTGGCGGTGATCCACAGACCTGAGACTGAACCTTATTGCTCTCTCTCTCTCTCTCTCTCTCTCTCTCTCTCTCTCTCTCTCTCTCCCTCTCCCTCTCCCTCGTCCTTCCCACCTCCGATCGCTGCAGGCAGAGCTCCCATTGTCCCCGGCCCTCCCCCGGTCTAACCTCTCTGTGACTGTAAACTTCTCTCACGCTGATGTGGGAAACTCAATGTGTCATAGTAACTGTGTCTAACCTTCAGTATTTCTGTGCACTTCTCTCTCTCTCCTCCTGTCTCCAAGGTGACCACAGACCTGAGGCAAAAGTGCACAGACTCTCACACGGGGACGTCCGCCTCTGCCCCGCTGGCTGCTGGGATCATTGCTCTGGCTCTGGATGCCAAGTGAGTTAAAAAACGACACAACCTCCTCCACATTAGAGCTACTTTTATAGTCAACCCTGTAGGCATTTCGTTTTTTACAGTAAGCATGGGTGGCGTTGATGTGTGAAGCAAAAGTTTCTCAATGACTGCTCTGATTAGAGGGCGTTAACAACATTCTTTACTCATATAATGTTCATGACATAGGTAAGTCCTAACCAGTCGTTTGTCAGCGTTGGCCTTAAAAGACTCATTTAAAACAGTAGATACCGTGCTGAGCCATTTTCAACCCATGAAATGCAGATTATTTTTAATTTGGTAAGAAATGTGCGCGTGCACTCACGTCTGGGAGTCGGTGTTGGCCTAACTCCCAGCCCAGAAATTCTTTCCTCAGCAAATTAAGCTTTTGATAATCAGTTAATTAGACAGACAAATCAGCAGCTGCAGTGCACACAGACATCTGAATACCTGTAGGGCTGGCCGCGAAGACTTTAAACCGGAGAGCGCCTCTCATTATCGCTCACTCAGGACTCCAGGTGTCGGAATCCAAGTTTCTGTCAGCAGCGCTAATGTGTTCTCCATTTTGCTCGTATCTTTAGTCATATCTTGCGGCATGTTAACGCCTCTTATCAGTCAGCCGTCCTCCGCTCTGCATAATTTGCTTCATTTCCACATTAGCATATACCTGACAGGTGTCGAAAACCAAATCCAGTATTACCTCACAAACGCAGGTTTCAGTTCAGGTATACATACTCGGCGTATATACCCAGGTTTATCTCGGCACTGTCACCTGGCATATCATGAGAGAAGGGCGCTGACTGACAGACCTAAAGTTTACACCGGTAAGATTATCTCTCACTTCTACCAGCACAGCAGAGTCAGCTCTCTGTTCTCCTGACAGGCAGCCGTAATAACAGGGAAGCTAGTTTATCAGACTGGGACCACACAGGAATTCACAGAGATGGAATCATTTAATAGGCAGAGTGTTTTTGCTTTCTGTCGTTTTATTATTTTATTTTCCCCCCCCTTCGCTCTTGGCTGGGGTGACATTGAGTGGATGAGGGGGGGGGGGGGGGGGGGGGGGGGCATGGGATCCTGTCCATTAACAACACATGAGAGGATGTGAGGTGTGAATGCTGATACGGAGAGTTGGCAGAGGTGATGTGCAACAGTGCAATCCTGTTTCTATATCTGCCTAGTGTGGTGTTGCACTCAATGAGCATTATCTTAAACCACAGAGCAGTTTTCTCATCGTTGGCAACTCGCAGGCTTTTCGTCTGAATGCTTCCCTGCCGTGCCTCTTAATAAATCTTGATAAAAAAAACACACGTTTTTATTGGGCTTCTACTGTTGGAAGGTGACCTCATCCCCCAGTCCCAGACCTCATTACAAACTATCATTACAGAGAGGTCTAGACACAGTCCTTCACACTGTTTTACTGTGTTCCCCGACCTTTCAACACAATAGGTTATGGTGTACCTTTAATACTGTAGTTTATCACCGGTGTTAAAACCATAATGTGAGCCCATACCTTTGTTATGGTTGACATATTCCTCAGGGCTTCCTCTACACCGCAGTATAATATTTCAGAAATGTATGTCTCAGGTGGATCCTATTTCATGCGTGTCTACAGACTGTTGACCTTTTCCATATCCCACAGCTCCTCACATTTCCTCTACTGTATTGTCATACAGTCGAGGTCAGCGAAACCAGTTTTTTCTCAGAAGTGCGCATAATGTGGAAAGTGATACGTTTTGGCTATTACATTACAGACAGACAGCACAGTTACTCTGCTTTCCTTCCTGTATCTCTGCAGTATGAACCTGACCTGGAGGGACATGCAGCACCTGGTGGTGAGAACGTCCCGGCCCGGACACCTCAGCGCCGGAGACTGGAAGACCAACGGAGTGGGACGCAGAGGTAGAGGCTGGCTCGTCCAAAATAAGCACAGATGCTATTGTATGGCGTAGTATTTGTGCTTCTATCCTGGGCACACAATGGGACTTTGTGAGCACATGCATTATATAATAATATTTATATAATAAAACTCTATGCTGTGCGCAGTAAATTGTTCAATATTGTGCACATGCGCGCACAATAATACCCTCTCACTCAGTTTCAAACTTGCTTCCAAAATCTATGGAGACTCGTTCTCTCAACTTCTGTGCTCTGTGCGCCCTCCGGTCTCTGCATGCTCAACCAACTTGACAAAGTGTTACAGCATGCCACAATTTCAGTCGAAAAGTTTGGATAAAATTAATAATTTGTTATTGGCTGTTTTGTCTCCACTGTGATTGCCAGTAGGTTTCTGTCTGCCACAATATATATTCTCTGTAAATCACTCCTCCTGTGTTGTCCTTTGAGAAAAGATCTGAACGAATTTATTTTTAAATTTTCCATGATGGCTTCATTTTAAACCATATTTGCATAATCCTTAACGTCACTGTTTTGTCATAGACACAGAGCTGTAAGCCACACTGAGCAAGACAGCAGCCTGCTACACGACACAAGATCAACAGATTCCGAACAACAAAGCACATTAGCTTTCCTGCTTAAGTCTCTCTCTTATCTAACTCACAAACATGAACCCACGCCATGTCCCATGTCCAAACAAACATTCACCGGGGGAAAAGTGCACAGCTGACATCATTTTCAAGCCTAGATAACTAAAAAAACTGGTACGCTGTAGCACAGCAAACAGTGTGTGAACCCATCTGCCAATATCCTTATGGTCCGTTTAGATGCTGGTGCAGCCTTGACCCTTCAATAGCACTGTTAACAACACACTGTCTGCCCAGGACAGTGCAAGACCTTCCAGCTGGCTGAGACGAAAAGGAGTATTTCTGAATTTTCCACAAGAACTTTTTTTGTTCCTTTCAATAACAAAAACAAATTAACATTTCAAAAAAAAATATATATATATACTGTATACAGTATATTTTTGACTACATTAGCAGAAAGGGATGCCTGAATCTGATTTGAATAACTGAAGCAACTGAATTTCTGCGCTGGATTGTAATTAACAGTAGAGAGTGGATGGTTGACTGACAGTTATTTCTCTTTCTGTGATGTTTATCTCGTCGTTGCCGCCCACCAACCTGTCACTCTCTTTATCTCTCCGTCTTCTTTCCCCACAGTGAGTCATTCGTACGGCTATGGGCTTTTGGATGCAGGTGTCATGGTGGCTTTGGCACAGAACTGGACCACAGTGGGACCACAGCATCAGTGTGTTCACACCATGCTTGCAGAACCAAGGTCAGAAGGTTGACTTGAAACTGTGTGTGTGTGTGTGT